CCCGCGAGCCTGTACTCAGAATGCAGCCTCCGTAAGGGGCCCTGGGGTTTGGAGGGCTCCCTGAGGCATCCGCATGGTCCTGGAGGGTGGCGTGGGGGAGGGCCTGGGCCACCGCACCCCCCTCTTGCCCACCGCAGCACTCGTGGTGGCTCCTCCCCACCTTTGCGGTAAGGGACACGGGGGGTCCTTGTCCTCCCAGTCTGTGAGCCTTTTGGGCAAACAATGCAGCCCAGGAGGGTGCGGGGCGTTGGTGTCGCCAGGGGTTGGAAACAAGTAGATGAACCTGGGCCTGTGGTCAGACTTGGAGGCAGTGCGGGGCTCAGCCTGTGGCCGAGAAACCCGCAGCCTTCCTGGGCAAGGGCAGTGGGACCCTGACGGGGCTGTAGGAGTGCTCCAGTGTGGACAGCGGCTACGTGCCGTGTCAGTGCTGAGTGTGGGGCAGGGTGAAGGTGGCTTTCTTAGAGCGCCTGGTTAGAGTGTTAGGTCTGGGTCAGCCAGTGGCGTGGTGACTAAGGTGGTTAGAGCCACTTAGTTGCGTGCACAGTTCGATTCCTGCACCAGCAGCTTGAAAAACACTGGGCATGTGTGCGTGTGTGCCCCAAGTCCCGAGTGCAGAAGTGACTGACCATGGAGCGTGGCCAGGATTGTCAGCCTCGAGTGGAGTGGAGCAGCCTCTGCGCCGGGGCCCGGGGCCTGGGACCAGGCCGCACAATCGGGTGGCCCCGAGCTTGCTGTCCTGCGTGGCCCCGACTGCAGGCTGTGCTGGACGGTCACAGGGTCCTTGGGCCCTCCAGACCCCACAGTGACGTGCCTGGCTCAGCGGGCCGTCAGTGCGCCAGTGCCGGGAGGGTGTGCCTCAGCATAGCCACCCCCAGAGGACACACCTATGCTGACGGCGGTCTGCTGTGAGGAGCTGCCTGGCCTCCTGACCGCCTTGTGTGGGCTCCTTCTCTCTCCACTCTGAGTTCCTGCTAACCCCAGCATATGTGCTGGTGCCTGAAACACGGCCAGAGGCAGTGGTGGTGAGGCTGAGGGCCCACGGTATTTAAGGTGGCTCCGGAGCCACTCAGAGCCGCCAAGGAAGGTGCCCTGTCCTGCTCGTGCTGTCCACGGTGGCAGGGTGTCTGTGCAGACTAGGCTGCCTGGACTCCAGCTGCCCCGCACTGTCCGCTTGCTTCCCTTGTTTGGTGGGGCATTCCCAAGAGCTCCCAGGCTCAGCAACTCACTGGGCTCACAGCTGAGATCAGTCCAGTGAAGGGAGAGTCCGGGTCAGACCAGACCAGGACGAGCACCACAGGGCCTCCAGTGGAGTCCTGCAGGACACACCTGGCTCCTGCGATGTGAGCCGTCTCCAGGGATGCCCACTGGGGACTGGCCACCTGCACTCTCTGCAGGCCTGGGCCGGGGCTCAGGTCCCAGGAGGAGAGCAGCCATGGCTTGTGGCAGCCTCTGTCCTGACATCGGGAGGTGGCGTGAGCCAGGCACCTGCTCGGCACTCCCTCCCGAGCCCTGGCCAGACACCAGGCTGCTAGGATACCTGGTTGTCGTGGTCCTGTGCAGATTCTCGGCACATCCACGTCAGGCGGCTGTCCCGACATTTGTGCTGTCCTTGGGGCTCTGAGTGCCACCCTGCTGAGGCTGATGGGTGAGCATTGGTGCCGGGACCCTCCAGGCAGCTCAGCTCCCCGGCTCACTGGGCTCGCTGGGCTCGCCGGGTCTGCCACCTGGCTGTGTCCCAGAGCCTGCTCCAGGTGCACCAGGCGGGGCTGCACCCCAGCTGCCTTCCCCATGGTTTGTGGCAAGAGCCAGCCGCCCTCTGCTCCAGCACTCCCACAGTTGGACGTGGCTGGGCTCCCATCCCCGTCTGAGGGAAGGACTAGCATGTCCACAGACTCTTCCCACCGTGAGCCACCTTGGACTGCCCTGCCCTGGCTGTAGCGCTGTAAGCTTGCGGCCCAGCTGTGTGAGATCGGCCCATACGACGGTGCCAGGCCACACTGGCCTGCATCTGACCGCCCGTGTGCTCACAGGGAAGGTGAAGAAGGAGCTAGACCATGAGGACGGCCACCTGCACCTGGACGAGACGGCAAAGCTACTGCAGGACCTCCACGAGGCACAGGCGGAGCGCGGTGGCTCCCGGCCGTCGTCCAACCTCAGCTCCCTGTCCAACACCTCTGAGAGGGACCAGCACCACCTGGGTGAGGGTCTCACAGCTGTGGCCGTGGGCGTGGGATGGCGCAGTGGGCTCCCACAGGTGGTCGTGCTGGCCTGTGTCAGCCAGCTGTCCCCAAGGCCTGGGCTCTTCACTGTGCGGGGAGCAGGCCGGCCCTGGCTGGGGCCCTGCCACACGGAGGAAGAGCCGGGCTAGCACCGCCACCAGGCGGCCATGCTGCCGTGCACAGCCGCATATGCACACGCGTGTGTCCAGGAAGAGGTCAGCCGCTGCAGAGCGCGGAGGTCTGCGGGTGCCCAAGGGCAGCGCGGGTGGGTCCTGTAGCGGGTGGTAGGGCTTCCCCGATGGCTCCTGAGTGGGTGCTGTGGCCTGGGTCAGCTCAAGAGCTTGGGCGAAGTCCCCACGAGGGGACGCAGGAGGCGTCGAAGGCCTCGGAGCTTCTGCGGGCCACAGTCACGTGGTGGGAAGGGCTGGGGCCTCAGACGGCCACTCCCTCTCTCTGCGGTGTGAGTGGGAGGGTGCCCCTTGTCCTGGCTCTGCTGACAGTGGGTCACGAGGACAGGCGTTCGGGGTTCTCCTGGGGGTGGGTCCGTCACGGTGTCTGCATGCTCTTTAAATTGCAGGAAGCCCCTCCCGCCTCAGTGTCGGGGAGCAGCCAGACGTTCCCCACGACCCATACGAGTTCCTTCAGTCTCCGGAGCCCCCGGCCTCCAAGAACTAGCCCAGAAGTGGACGCCAGCTATGGTTCCGCTTTCTTAGCTTCCGGCTCACACGCGCCGTGCCGTCTCAGCTGGAGGCTGGAACTGGTTGCCTCTAGCCTGCGGGACCAGGCCTGGGAGGGGTAGAGTCTACAGTGGCAGTGTCACCCCTTTACGGCCCAGGGGTGCTGACGCTGTCTGCCGTCCGTGTCTGCGTGACATGAGTGGCTCGATCACATCTCCCACGTCCCGAGGTCCGCACGCCTGGTCCAGTGAAGCCGTCCGTTGTGACACGCCTGCAACTGGGCATGTTCCTGCACGCCACCTGACAGAGCCCTGTGAACAGTGCCGTCTGTGACCGTCCTAGTGCAGCCAGAGACACGGGTGGCAGCGGCACGTGGCCACAGCTGAGGGGCGCCTCCCTGGTCGTCAGGCCCAGTCCTTTACTGGGTGACATTGGGGGTGCCCGGCGCCCTGCTCCCGATGTGGAAAAGCTGAAGTGAGGCCGGGCAGACTGCAGCTCAGTCACCCTGGGAGGAGCGTGGAGCTGCCCGGGCCCCACAGCGCGGTGACTGATGCCTCAGGCCTGGCTGACACTGGTGGTGGGGAAAGACCCGCTCAGGGTGGAGCCTCGGGGAGCAGCCGTGGCCAGCTCCAGCAGGAAAGGGTGGTGCCGGGCTGTGTCAAGGGCCTTCAGCGCTGACTGGCAGACGAGCCCCGCGGCCCTGTCCCCACTCTGCCATGCCGGTCGGGGCGTGCGTACACAGCTGCAAGGAGGATGGGAAAGCGTCTGTCCAGCCTCCGGGCAGGGCGCACTCTGCCCCTCCCAGGACCCAGAGCTGGACTGCCCCTCGGCCAGCTGTCCCTGCGGCCGGGCCTCTAGGGGGCAGCCTCCCAGGACCTCTCTAGAACCTCTTTCTTGCTCCCTGGACCACAGCCAGGGTTCTCACGAGAAGCTGTGATGTCAGCAGACCTCAGCCCCAGGCAGCCTGGGTGGAGGCCCGACCTGCAGCCCCGGTCACCTTCTGAGTAGCTGGGCTGTCCGTGCAGCCCTGACAGCCCAGGGGGCGACTGCTCCCCAGGCTGGGACCCGGGAGCTCAGCCCCCAATCCGCATGTCACTCAGAAGGAAGACTCGCTGGCCAGCACCTTCAGTTTTTAAAATGCCCTTTATTTGTATGTTAGTAAAATTCACATGACAGTTAACCATCGGCCACTTACAGCGTACAATCCAATTGCATTTGGTGCATTTGTAACGTGGTCACCCACCACCTCCACCGAATCCCAGAACCTTCCTGTCACTAAAGTCGCCATGCCTACTGGCCGTCCCCACCTGCCCCACGCCTGCCCTGCAGCCTCAAGGCCTCGGTCTCTGGACGTCACGCTTCAGTGGTGCTCACATGTGCTCTCTTGTGTCCGGCTCCTCATGGAGCACATGGGCTCATCCCTGATCTTGGCCATGTCTGTCAGGTTCATCTGGCACCTGGCCACAGACCCGACGCTCAGGCCGTGCCTCCGTGAGGCTTGGGGCTTAGGGCCAAGGGGAAGGCCTGGACCTCGCCAGGCAAGTGCCACCCGCAGGCCCACCCAGCTCAGGCCCTATACTTGAGAACTCGACTCGGCTCCAGGCTGTCTGTGGGAAGCGGCATGTGTCCACACCTGGCCTCTGTCGGGCTGGCTGGTGCCTTTCCCCTCCCCTTCCCCACTGTTCGACCCACCCCACCTTCCCAGAGCTCAGGAATAGGCACCCCTGGGGCCCTGGGTGTGCACCGAGCAGAACTTGGGTGTCACAGAAGCTCCACCCCAAACGGGGCTGCACGTGATCTCAACATGGGTGTGCAGCCCGTGTGTACGCATGCGGCATTGCAGTCTCTGTGCCCGCCACCTCCCCGATTGCTGTGGCCACGGAGCCTTGTCCGTGCAGCCAAGTGGCCGTCCTCGGCTCCCAGCTCTTCCAGCCCCACGAACTGCCCTTGCACTGGCCAGTCAAGGCAGGCGTCCCCACTCTCAAGTCCCCAGACACCCAGTGAACTCAGGTCATTGGTTCCAGCAGAACCCCTCCCACAGCCCCGGATGTGGGTGGTCCAGGCTGAGGTCAGGCTGCCCCCCTGTGCCAGGCTGAGACGGAGGGGCACCTTTCCAACTCAGCTGCGTGTCCTCAGCATGTGACACCGCCACAGCCATGTGGTATCTCCTAGGACGGTGCTCTTGAGGCAGACCTTGAAGGTGGCGTCAGAGCCCCTGGCTTGGGCGTGTCGGTGCCTTTTGCCTGGTTGCCGTGGACATGTGTCCCTCACACTCACGGGTCCTGTGCCCGTGGCGGTCTGGTGACAGTGGGCTCAGCACTCATCCCGCTGTGTCTCGTGGCCTTGGCATCAGCAGGAGGCAGAGCCTTCGTAGGGATGCTGGGAGGAGACTGGGAGGGGAGGCGGGTCCACATACCCCTGCAGCCACCACACCACGCTCGCTGGATGGTGGATGGGCCTGGCCTGGGCCGTGGACGGCTGTGAGCAGGAGCCAGGGTGGATATCCCTTTAGTCCCACGTCTGCTGTGGTTTCTTGCCGGGGGGTGGCAAAGGCATGGAAACACAAGGCCAGGAGCGTGGAAGGGTGGGGGCCCTGCCCAGCGAGGCCCCTGCAGGTGCGCTGAGCAGCCACGGGCCTCGCTCTGCTATCCTCGTCCACTGATGTTGGTGTTCAGCAAACCTGCTGGCTAGTGCGTACCTGGGGAGGGTCAGCTAGCACCTGGTGGAGTGCCCAGAGGTCCTCTGTCCAGAGGGTGGGCCACAGAAGCAAGGCCCTGGGAGTTGGTGCACAGGTGAGTCCGGCCAGCGGTGACCCTGCAGGCTCCAGGGGCCTGGTAGGGCAGAGCTCTGCGGAGTGGACGCTGCCCACCATGCAGTGCCCCCACGGGGACACTGCTGGGCTCCCCAGGCCTGACATGGTGCTGCTGCAGGCCCAGCACCGGCCTCCTGCCTCTCCCGCAGAGTGGCCGGCCCGGGCCCGCGTTCTTTGAGGACAGG